TAACACTGCTACTGCACTCAGTGCAAAGTGCGGTCCTACTCTGCCCTTAAAATAACTTCCATGCGCTGTCACTGCCTGGCAGGAAAGCACAGGTAGTCGCCCCCGTTCTGGCAGAGTTGCGCTTTGGTGCACGAGGGATTTGCCTAGTTTGGGAGGAGCTGAATTTTTCTGAAAGATGGGCTGAGTAGACAGCATAGAGCTATGTGTAGATTGTTAATTTTGGCTGAGATCAGAAGGCTACAAACTTTTATGACTTATCCTCTAGAGATTTTGGCCTGAAAGGGCAGAATGGCAGTGCTGCTGTAACAGACGACATTGGGAGCTGAACCGAGAACAGTGAGTTTAAGTAACCCTAAAGTCAAAATTGCAGAGGTGGATGCCAAAACTAGTTCTGAATTGGAAACCTCACCTGAAACCCCACCTCATTCTTCAGCTTTGAAAAGATCTGATTATAAAGACCTTTCTCTAGTTCTCTTCCAGCTTACTTGCCCTTCTATAGCTAGACTCTGTGTAGAGTGTTAAATCCATCAGAGCAAAATCTCTGATAGTTTTACTGAGTGTGCAGTATTTTCATTAGCTCCAAAACATCAGGTTTGCAGCAAGTCCTACAACACTACTCAGCCTATCGCGCTTTAAACTGTTAGAAGGCCGACCTTGCTTGTCACAATACTGAATAAAAGCTGGTCATTGCTGTAACTGGCTAATAGGTCAGTATTACAAGGGTTGCAGGAAATCCAGCTGCTTGTGTTGCCGTTATCTAAAATGTGGTTTTGCTTGGAAGAAAATCACTCTGTAGAAATGGCAGGGTAGGTTCAGTGCTGCTGCGGGCTGGAACTCGATCAGCCAGACAGTCTCTGCGACAGACCTGCTCCAAGCGTGGGGGCTGGCAGTGCGGTCCCACGTCTCGCTCTGAAGAGAGCTGTGGGTTGGGACGCGTGAAACTGCGTCTGAAGTAGCCCTGTTAAATCCTCTGTCTCTAGTTGCAATGCATCAGCTGAAGAGATCTCAGTTTACTGCTGGGTTTGCAGGACTGGCAGGTAGAAGGAAATCATCGCCTTTCCAGTGAATCAAGCCCTTCTTGTAAAACTTCACAGGGTCTCAGGGTACCCCTGCTGTGCATTTTAGTTCCCATGTGTTCATACACACACCCACCCCCCAACTCCCTAGTTCTCCAACTCCTCCTTTGACTCCTCTAGACCCAAACCAGGTTTGGCAAGAGACAGCTGTTCGTGATGCTGGTGGCAAGAGTAATTTTTGCATTTCTCTTTCTGGAGATTTATATTGTACTTAAGGTGGGATAAGTAGCAGAAAGCAAGCAGCCATGTCTGTAATTTATCATGAGTAAACCTACTGGTGGGGAAGGTGGTTTTCAGGAGAGTGTGTGCAGTACAGCTTTTAGCGTAAAAGCTGTTAATTTAAATTGAGATTAATTTTTAGCTTTTTAATATACAAAAAAGATTGAATTTCAGAACTACTAATGCACATGCTGCAGAGGGAAGAAGTTGGAAAGTCTCCAGTGAAATCATATAAAGTGAGAACCAATGCCCAGTTCTCTCTGTACCAGCTTGGCAAATTAATCAGTTTATTCGCAGATGTCCAGTTGGAGAAAACCTGTGCCCATGTCAGACCTATAAGGGAGCTTTAAAATGACCACTCCTGTTCTTGTAGCACAAAATATTCTGTTTTATGGAGATGCTCTGCCTAAAGCTGCCCAGGTTACAAATCTAGAAAGCATTTTAGACAAGGGGTAGGCAAGGTCCCTGCCAAAGCTTTGCCTGGCAGCAGAGGAAATGGGCATTTGAGGTCTGCTAAGTCTCCTGAGGACGGGATCATTGCCACTAATCTTTCTTCAAAGCCCAGTAAATATTCGGCCTTGCCAGAGGATGATGGTACCTACCCCTTCCTGTCGGTTCAGAGCTGCCTTTCGGCGCAAGGGCTGGGGTGAGTCTTTGCTTTAGGGACCTGGGGCTGATTTAGGACTCAGCACTTGGGGTAGGGAGGCGCAGCCGTACACTCTGGTCTGTCATGGCCCCGTTGGTGTGATGGACAAAACCCAGCCCCTGAATTGGGTGCAAAGAGCATTATTTGTTATCTTAAGAATTAAAGATTAGCTTCTGATTCTTGAGCAAGCAGGCAGGGCGGAAAAAGCTATTGGCTGTCAATTCACACCTCTCAGATCTTATATGTGGAACTTTTTTGACCTTAATGGTCAAATAAAATTGTTAAATATCACAAGCCTCTCTGTCAACTTCAATACAAACAGAACAATTTACATGGTATATAGAGAGCAGTGCCCTTCGCTCAATGAAGATAAAGGTTAGGAGTCCAGCCACCAGGAAATTTCTATTTATTGTTCCACACTGTACACAAGGGGGTGAGGAAAGACTTAATAGCCAGTCCTTGCCTGGAAATTAGTGTAAATACTGCCTCACCCGAGGGAATCGTGGAAATGTGGATACCAGCAAAAACTTCAAATAGTCTCTGTGTAATATCGCCCGTTTGATTTCCTGGCTGCAGGGCTGACACCGCTCACCTGCAGGGACAAACCCCTTAACTGCTCCCAGCCCCCTCCAGCCACTGAGGCGGGACCCGGCAGAGACTGGGACCTGCTCCCCAAGCTGCTTCATGCAATTATGGCCTGGGAGCTGAGCACCACCGTGCCAGGAAAAGGGATGGCAAAACCCCAGGGCGTGTGCGGGGAAGGGGAGCGGCGGGAGAAGCACGTGGGCTTCCAGGGGTCCCACACCACCGCCAGAGCTGGAAATCAAATTCTGGTCCCCAGAGTTGCCTTCAGACCCAAAACTGCCTCAAATTCCCCCTGTTCTAACCTCTGTTCATATTTACACCCGTTAATTCCTTTTATCTTCCAGATTCTGCGTGGGAGACAAATTTTTCCTGAAGAACAACATGATCTTGTGTCAGATGGACTATGAGGAAGGGCAGCTGAACGGGAGCTTCGAGTCCCAGGTTCAATAGCAAACTCTGCTTTGCTGAAGCACTGTGGGATGGGTGCTCGGCCGCGCGAGCAGCGAGGGTGCCTGTCAGCTTGCCTGCAATATTTTTTTAATTCTTGGTCCAGAGAGGACTATATACATTGTAGTACTTTCCCCCCCCCAACACAAAGCAGTTACAATTTTAGATGTACAGTTGTGCCTGCTTAGCTGAGCACTGCATTGCCTGTATGTTTGTGAGTTTTTGGGGTCTGGGGGAGGGCTCTGTACAGTCTGTTTTCTGTATATAAACTGGAACATTTATTTTATGAAAAATGTAATGCAATTTTATTACCGGTGTGAATTAAAAATTATGAATGTTTCCTGGTCATCTTAGCTGTGGTTTGTTCCCCATGCGGTGAAAGCCAGTATTTCCTGTGCTTGACGTTGAGCAGACTATTAGAAATGTATACACAGATCCCTGGAAACTGCATGAATAAAAGCAGAGGCAGGAGTTCACACACACAAACTGGGGGAAGAAATGCTGCTGCAGAGTTAGACCTCTCCGCTTGAACCGTGTGGAGACTTGTGTCCAAAAACCTGCTGCACTGTAAAACGGGAGGGAATGAGCTGTGGGCGGGCGATGGCTGGGCACCGTCGGTGTCGCTGGCTGGGTCCCACCAAGGCTGCTGTGCAGTGCTGAGTTGCTGGCTGAGAGTCGCCTTGCTTTTCATCTCTATGAATTTAGACAGCATTTCCATGGCCAGGAGTGCTTGTGGCCGGCTGATACGGTGTCTCCCGTCTGGGCTGCAAGGAACAGGCTCCCTCCAGCCCTGCCAACAGGTGCCCAGGCATTGGTCAGAATATTAATTTCAAGGCTTTGATAGGCAGTGGGGTTTTCCTGCGGGGCATTGCTTGTCCAGGTCTGAGCTGCTGCGAGAGCTGTTGTCGGGGTTCGAACGCGGCTGGGCGCTGACGCAGCATCCTTTTCGCAGCCCTTTTTGCTTACTCTGTGCCAGGTGCTTTGACCTCCCACGTAACGAAAGCGATCAGATTTGAAGCATCTCTCGTAGAAAAGTTCTGAACTGTGTTCCTGCTGCGATGCTTTGTGCAATGATTTTCAAGGTTATGCAATTCATGTGCAACCCACTGGACTGTACCAAACACATTTCTTTGTATGGTGAGTGTCACATTAATACAGTGCACCAGTAGCTGTAAAGGATGGCTGCAATTCTATTTATTTTGTCTTCTTGCTTTTTCTTAGATTTACCCCACTTTCCTCTAATAGACACCGAGTACTTTTTTCCTGACGTGACTTAATTGGTTATTGGTCCTGGATCGCGTGCATTTTCTCTGAATTACAAATGCCACATGCAGTGCAGCTTGGTGCTGCTCTGCCTGTTGCATTAAATGCTTTTAGGTACATCTGTGTTGAATAATGGCTGAACAGAAGCAAAACACCACCAGACACTTAGTATGCTTCAAAATATTACCTGTCATCTGAAGCTACCTCAGACATGTGGATTGATTGAGTGATTTTTCTTCATAAACAGACATTTTGGGTTGGGAGACCCATTATAAAATGTGTGGCCCCATCCCCTTTTATTCCCATGAAAATGGACTAGCAATTAAAAAGCCACCTATAGCCGCCTATGGATAGGTAGCGTTTTAATTGCTATTCCATTTTAGTGCCTTTTGGGGTTGGGCAGGGGGGTGTCTTTTGAGAAATTGTGGAGTTGATGCTTTTTTTGCAGAGGCTATTGCAGGTGGCCACACTGGGGCTACTGAAGGAGCAGCTTGTTGCCCAAATGTTTTGTTTCCTTGCTTTGAAATGGGCTGCTAGACGGTCGCTGCCTCTGCCTGTGCTCCAGAGTGACGGGTACCTGCCTGCCCGTGGGGTTTGCTGTAATTCAACACACAGTGGCAGTATGCGGGTCTTGTCCCATGGTGAGGATGGGAGCAGTAAAACCAAACCAAACCAAAACCCCTCACCAAACAAGCTGGGGGGGTTATTCAGATTTAGTTCAGATTCTTAAGGATTGAGTTTTGGTACCAGTTTAAAAATCAAAAAAGTCCTTCAGCAAATGGTACTTAAACCTTCTAGAAAGCATTTTTTCTTGGCTTAGGTGGTCTCCTTGCTTCAGAAGAAAGGGAGGAAGAAAGTGTAACTCTTCAGAGCTGCTTGACTAATGGCTCCGCAGCTGCCACATCTATCATACATTGCTGGGAAAACTGCAGAAATGTCACCCCAGAGGCAGGAGCATGCTGGAAGAGAGGGCCACGTGTGTGGGAAATCCCACTCTACCGTTGGATGAATAAAAATGGCACTTGGTTGGTGTGAGCCATGTCTTGCTGCGTACGTGAGTCCCCACGCTGGCTCTGCAGGGGAGGCATATCAGCTGGGCCCCTTTGGATGTGCCTGGGGCTGGGGGTGGTTTGGTGGAGTTGTTTTGATATGTGGCAATGCAACAGGCTGAGTCAGCAAACATGAGCAGAATGATGGAGCAGGAGATAGCCCAGGAACTTGGAGAAAAAAATGGGTCATGGACTGGTAAATAGGACAAAATAATCAGTAAGGTGAAACAGCTACGGTAAGGTCTAGTCTCGGTAGCTGCCATCCAGCTGGTACTGGCAGCATGATGATGTGGTGTAGAGGAAGCCTGGAGCCAAGGATGAAGCACGATTAGCAATGTTAGCTCAGAACACGTAGCACACACGAGAGCAGGGAACACACAGGGGGTCCGGCGGTCACAGGGGATGTTACCAGAACAACATGGGTCTCTCCTCCCGGGGGTGGGGGCAGATGTCAGGGTGGTGTATTATGAGAGACTGAACCCCCATGAAGAGCACCTCTGCCTTCAGGGCAAGGCAGGAACAGAGCCCTGCACGCCCCTCTGGAGCATGGAGGGATGCTGAGCCGGTACAGGCTGGCACTGCAAAGGCACGACTTCCCTTCCAGTTGTGCACACTAAATACAAGGTCCAGCAGCACGCTGCTTGGATGCCAACATCTTTTCGGTTTGCTCAATGGTCCCCGACGCGGGCATGTCTGGAGCCCTCCCTCGCTTGTGCTACGGCAGCACAGACACTCACACCTTGCCAAAACACCCTTCTGTCTGGGGAGTGGGGGTGTTAGTTACACCCTGGGCCATGACTTACATGCGATGGCACTTTGGGCATCTTGTTGCCTCCTTGCACTTCTCTTTGCTGTGAAATACGGGCAGTGCTCCCCTGCTGGGGTGCAGGGGCTTCATTTCTGGTGGACAGCCCTCTTGATTTGTCACCGTGGCTGTAGATCCGATTCCTTATGCCTAATGAGGAATTTCACGATGCTGTTTCATGCAAAAGCCCTGGCTGGTGGCTGGGTGGGTGGGAGGAAAGCCTGGGACAGGGCACAGCTTCTTGCTGTTGAATGGGGTGCAGCAAATGTCCAGTTGTCTTATTTAAAAAAAAAATACAAGGGAGAAATGGTGCAGCATCTGCATCTCCCCTTTTCTGTGTATGCGCAGCAGACAAGGCCCACCTGCCACAGCCCATGCCAAGTGGGATTTCTTTAAAAATAAAAATCCCAGGAGGACAATGCAATCATGAATTTTTGTCTGAACGCTGCAAATTTGCTTAATAGAAACAAGTGCTGGAGTGCAGACCTGCTGTTGAATAATCACTTCCACTCTACAGAGCAGAGCACGGAAACCTTTTGATGGTGTTATAGTCATCACTTGGCATAAATATTCATTCAAGGAATCAGAGCAGAGTAAATGGCATTTTAGACTCTAATCATTTAGTATTAACAGATAGCCTTTTTACTGCTAAAGATAACCACTGCTTAATCAGTTTACTGACCACTGGCATACAGTATGACATTTAAGCTTGTGCCTCGGCCCCCATGTTGAGAACATGGCTGCCAGTGACCCCTCTGCCCAAGCCTCCAAAGTCGGCCCAGCCGCTGCCAGCTGCCAACCGCACACAACTGGCTTTAACGTCTGAATTATCTGCCATTTGCCTCCTTATCTTAGATCAAAGTGGTATTTTAAGTTCATAGTACAAATGTTAAAATCTAGGATCTTTTCTCTCTTTTTTTTGTAGTTGGGGCTAACGGCTGATCACAGCACAGTCTGAGATTAAAAACAAGACGGTATTTAAAGGCAATCAAAATCTCAAGCTTCTTCTCCATTCATCTTTAATGCTGGTGTAATTGCTGCACAGATTCTGGCTCTTCCTCCAGTCTTTTTTTTTTTTTTTTTTTTTGGTGCGTGCCTCTGTTTTTCAGAGGATGTTACGCTTCCCTGAGCAGCATTAGCGCTATTGAGGACTCCGCTATCGACAATCCAGCTCGCCCGATTTCATATCTTGCCAAACAAGTTAATCTAATATTAACAGCGGTTTGTTACCTTGTTGTTAGCTTAATTTACTTTACAAGAAATGCTACATTTGCATTTCATCCCTCTGTCTTGCAAACTGTGCTTCCCAATGCCAAGAAGGGATGGCTCACACTCTTTTGCACGAGTCTCCCAGTGTGGTGTTGCCACACAGAGGAGGAGGCCATCACCCCGACCAGGCATTTTCACTAATTGGCCAGGGGGGTGTGTGGGGAGTTGGAAGGAGGATTTCAAAAGCTGTAGAGCAGGTCCTGGAAATGCAATATTCAGAATAGCACAAATACCGCTGCTGTTCTTCCAGTAATATAGCTGAGTCGTAGACAGTACTTTTCCCTGGTGGCAAACATATACAGTAAATGTCTTTAGTATGGAAATCAGCAGACATATGGGCTCAGCGGAGACTTTTGCAACACCAACAGGTTCCTCAGGCTTTTAGGGGTGCTCCCGCACCAGCCCCTGCCGCACACCAGGGACTCGCCAAGGTCTGTCTGCCAGCACGGCGGGGGCCCTGCATCTCACTTCCAAATTGCTGGGGTGGGGGGAACCGTGAGCAAAGCCCTCTGAGCAATCGCTGAAAAGCCACTTCCCTGAACGACCCAGATCCTGGCCCTTGGCAGCTCTCAGACGGGAAGGCTTTTCTCCAGCGGCCACACAGAGCCGCACCAGCTGCAGGGCTGGGAGGGGTAGTGGGACGGGGCTGGGGATGCCCCGCGGTAGCAGTAGGTGACATCAGTGACTTGGTGCCTGGGACTGGTCACCCTGGGTTAGGGGATGTGGCGTTGCTGGAGATGGAGATGGCTTTTGTGAGTGTTAGTTTCTGGCTTAATTCTTCATTAGCTCACTGTATGCCGCATTGCTAAACCCTGTCCCTATTTATGGGACGCTGGCTTTCCACCTGCTCTAGCAATCGCTGCCTTCTGCTGTACCGGACAGGGAGCGGCAGAGTTGCCCACACTGAGTTTGTAATATTATTTCCAAAAGGGAAGGGGCAGCAATGAGGTGATGCCACT